TTCCGCAACACGGGAAGGAAGTATTGCATACTTTTTTGGGCCTTGTCGAACTCTGGCTTCACCTCCTCTGGCAAACGTCTTGTTAGCTGACGAGAAAGCTGCTCAACTTCTTCTTCAACGGCATCTGCGGAGTAGCCGAAAAAAGTAGATACTATGCTGCGCGTTGGTTTTTTTACAATATCATAGGTCATAGTCACAAGGCGAGATACTTCTAGCAGCATAAAGCACAGAGTTAAGTTCGTACTCCAGTCGGGATCTAAGAGCAGTAGCTATGCTTTGTACTAACACCTTCCTTTTGTTCATATCCATGTTCGTGAATTTAGCAGCCTTGAAATCTTCAGCAACCTGAAGATCAGCAATGGACTTCTTGGAAATTTCCTCATTGAGACTAGGCAATCTGCTTGGATTTCTGGTGTACGAAATAGAGAGTTTCGCTCAATTGTCAACTCTGTATCAATGTCGACAACATTTTCGTCGGCGTAAGATTCTCCTTCTGCCTCGCTGTTGAACCGGAACACATGCGAGTCATCTGCGATTTTGTAAAGTATTCTGCCTGCCGTTTCTTCTTCAAACTCCCAAAATTTCCAAAACATTGAAGGATATTTTAATAACATGTTGTTCTTCTGAATGCCTTAAAGTTTTTGATTTATTGAAACCAACCATTCTCTACAATTAGGTGAGTCTAGAGCGTCTTCACGAAAGTGACCTTCTTCAGCACTAGGTTTACAGAGTATAGATTCCAGAAATGGGCGGGTCTTTGTGTGAAGGTGTGGAAATTCACCAATCTCCCATAGTTTTTTAATATGTGCTGACTAGCTGGCTTACCCGGCTCCGCCGTATGTTCCGAATAGAAAATTTCCATTTCTTAACCGATCCGGACCAAACTTGGCACACATACACTTCGGGCTAGGGGGCTGGAATTTGGCAGGGGGGTGTAATCGAGCATGCTGATCACCCCCGTGGGGGTGATCAGCATGCTCGATTACCCCCTGTGCCAACTCCCAGCCCTGTAGCTCAAATTTTGCAAAACAATAAAATCAATATCGATCGATGACGAAAAGTAGCCTATGACACCCGCCGGGGCCCGAAGTGTATGTGTGCCAAGTTTGGTCCCGATCGGTTCAGAAGTGGAATTTTCTATTCGGAACTTACGTACAGACAGACAGATATACAGACAAACAGACATTCAGCTTTATATATAAGATAATGATGGCACAACTGTCAATCAAAAGCGCATTTTTTACTAAGAAAACATAAACATATAACAACGATAAGCACGCTTAAATATAGTCGTCCTCCCCCCACTAGACACCCAGTGGACGATTTCAAATTTGAACTGGAGCATTATGGTTGCGGCAGAGCGCGGCACATTCGGCTTTTCATTCAAACTCAAAGTTTTTCTTCGCATTTCTCCGACGTTTTATGCAATTTTTTGAATGCTAACAATCTTCTTAGTTGAGATTGGAGATTGTATTGCTTTTGAGGAATGTTTCGTGCTGTTATTTCAACTTTATTTGAAAATAGAACTAGAGAGAAGCATAAGGTACGAAACATCGCTAAACAACAACAAACTCGTCAATTCTAATTACAAACGCCACTGAGATAAATGAATTACCATGCAACGACGAGAAATACAAAAGAACACTGCAAGAGCTTGAAACGAATTTGACGGTGCCGCGCTCTGCCGCAACCGGCGTGCTCTAGTTTAGATTCGAATTCGTCCACTGGGTGTCTAGTGGGGGGAGGACGACTATAGACGCGTTCGCTCGCGTTCCCGTTAGTGCTGATAACGATGTCAATTCACAGCACATTTTTTACTATTAGCTTGCTCCACCTCGTTCTTACAATGTGTTGGCTTTTATGGGTCACCGGAGCAAGTGCTTTTTAGAGCCGGGAAGCAAAGAAGCCCTAACATGCTGTATACCTTTCGAAAGCTGAGATCATGGAGAATCGACATAGACCGTCGCCTTTTTCTTAGGTCTTCTGTGTCACGAGATATCAGGGATTTTATGTACTTCAAAAATCAACTGATTTTGTGTCCTCACTTTCTGCTCTCCAAATGAATGCTACGAGAAAGTCGACGATCTACGTTTGTTAACGAAGAATTGCTCTTTAACACAGATAGATAGTCAGCAGTGATTAGGTCTTCGTTTGGCAGAAATCTGCTGTTGAAAATGGACATGTTTTCAGGTAAAATGCGGTGTATCTCTCGGTAGAGTGGGGCTAGAAAGAAGTCGACGGTCTAGTTCGAATCCCCTTTTCCTGAGCTTTCGAATGGTTTATGGGTTGCCGGGCGAAAAAACTTACCAGTTTTCAAAAATGGGGTGAGATATTTACTATTAGCTTGCTCCACCCAGCTCCACCAATGTATTGGCTTTTATCGGTCACCGGAGCAAGTGCTTTTCAGAGCCGGGAAGCAAAGAAGCCCTAACATGCTGTATACCTTTCGAAAGCGGAGATCATGGAGAATCGGCATAGACCGTCGCCTTTTTCCTAGGTCTTCTGTGTCGCGAGATATCAGGGATTTTATGTACTTCAAAAATCAACTGATTTTGTGTCCTCACTTACCGTCGCAATATACCAATATACCCAAAAGAGTTGTAGCTTTGAACAAAGAAGTGTTGATTATATTACTAAAATAAGATTGATTAATTTTCATGGAACTGTAACGCTCAGGGACGTATTTATGAATGCTCGGAAAGAGTTTGTGCTTCTGTAGATGCTTTTTTTATGTCTTTTGTAAATTTATGAGTGTACTTGTTGTTTGAGGTACTTGGTCTGCAGAACCTTTTAACAACGATTTTTATTTTATATTCTCAAAGTACAATACCAATCTCAGCCCAGGTGAAGGGGGCCATTCGGAGTTTGGCCTCAAAGTGAAAGGTGTAAGATCCATCACTCCCCCTATCGCAACTATGCTCATGAATGGTGCATGTCTCGATTTCAGTAAGTGTGTTTGTCTTTGTGTTTCTCTTTGTGTGCGTGAATCTCTGCCTGCCACGAAATTCGTGGAATACCTGCAAAGGTCTTGAGCTAGAATTCTGGTAATAGCACTCTATCAGCAGGTAGGTAAAGTGTGCAAAAGCACAAGCTGATCCGATAAGTGGAACCTATGAAAACTGTGCGTCAAACGGGTTCACGTGACTTTTGGCGCGTCGAAGTAATTCGGTAATTGGACTTTTTTCGAAATCGTGATTTGTTCAACAAGCAGTTCCGCAAACCATGGAGTTCAGGCCAAAAAGTAAGCAAAAAGTCTGCTTTCAGGCGAGTTCGGCACCAAGAAGAACAAATTGCATAGATAATCTGACATAGTTTTACTTCGGAATTTGAAAAGATTTTTGCCTAAAGATATAACTCACGGTTGCTTTGGTAAAGACCAAGTTGGGTTTCAACAACGATTTATTCGCAAGGTGTAGTGAAGAACAGGATACGACGATAGTGACGGCTCCAGAACTTGGTATCCAGGCTTTTTTATACAACCAAATTGGGCATGTATAGCCTGGATGCCAACTTCTGGCAAACAATGTCATTGCAACGTAAAGATTGCCTACATGAAGGTAGGCGCCGCAAAGTGCGCTATCAAGGGTCATGCAGGTGACCTGGCGGCTGAACAAATGCATGAACAGTGTAGGACTTGTCCATGACGGGAAAGTAATATATATTCAGCTGACATGAATATAGGTCGTTAATGCCTATTATTAACGACAGTTGCCATCATCCTTATGGCAAGATCATACCACACTAATTCCTATAACCGGTTCAAACGCATAAATTTTTTGGAGAAAACTTTCCTCCTTCTGTAGTCGATCTTACACGAATAAGCTTTTGGAATGAGTAGTTGTTTAAATTCATTCGTGTTGAAGGGCGTTGCTCAGTAAGTTCCAAAGCCATCATTTAGCGACTACGAGAAGGTCATTTATTTCATAGTATCTGTATAAAATGTTTTCATTCATTAAAATAGAATATTTTATTGTAACCATTGGAAGCTATGTGTTTTTAAAGCACTGTTTAAGAATCTCTGTAATGTTCTTTATGATGATACTAGCTTGCTTACCCGGGTCCGCTCGGCCTTGGCAAAACACTGTAATCAAGGTCCCATCCCTATCCTTGTACAGCCTTTCCCTTTGCCCACTTCTACACTTCATTTCCCGTTCCCTGTGTTGTTTTCAAAATCAGCATGCCCACTTACTCCCCCCCCCTATGCCTCCCGGCCCTTCAGCTCAAGTTTTGAAAAAATCGATAATGTAATAGATTATACCAAAAACTAATGTATTCTTAATCAGCATGCTCGATTACCCCCTGTGCCAACTCCCAGCCCTGTAGCTCAATCTTCGCAAAACATAGATAAAATCGACAAAAGTAATCGATAATTGTGAAAACTAATATTGTATTCGGAATTGCCATGCCCACCTACCCCCCTGTGCCAACTCCCAGCCCCGTAGATCAACTCTGCCAAAAATTTGATAAAAATCGATAAAATCGATATCGGTCGATGACAAAAAGTAGCCAATGACACCCGCCCCGCCCTGAAGTGTATGTGTGCCAAGTTTGGTCCAAATCGGTTCAATAATAAAAAATTTCTATTCCGCACATACGTACACACAGATATACAGACATACAGACACACATTCAGCTTTATATATAAGATCATGCCGTAAACATAATATTGAGCATATCGGTAATATCAGACTGGATGAAGCCTCATATTATTGATTTGTATATGATGTAAACTATTACTGATATTATCATTAATAGCCCAGTAACGTATTTAGCCTTTGTTTTTAGTTTTTATAGAGTTTATATAAAATCTAGCTCTGAAAAGATTCACCTGGTTCGGAATTCATCTTTTGCAACGGGACTTGAGTGAGTACTTAATTGGGAGCCTCGCTATTATACCGCATCAGAAGCTCACCAACTTCACTTTGGGTGGACGGTGTCTTTTAGCTCGGTGACACTCGAAGGTTCACACAGGTTCCTCTCTGATTACTGTGCACACTATCCATCAACAATTTATCCCCTCATCATGCTACACAATATATTCTCCATTCTGGTTTCTCTTTTTTCCATCTTCGTCTGTCCATATAACACTTTGTTTTCGATGCATGCTTTTCTCGGCTATGTGGCTAAATGCCAGTCTGATGCGGCTCATTTCATCCATGGACTGAAAGTGTAAACATTTGGTATTTTGATGCAAGCTGAAATGTCGAGGCTTTACCAGTCGGTGAAAAAGGCACAACGTCGGATCCTCATCATCTGCATACGGGCACTCTTGCGTGCCATCGCACATTTGTCCTATCCGAATGCAGAATACTTCTTCGTGACTAAATCGCCGAGAACATGCCGTAAATTCCGGCCCAAGTCTCCTACATCGATCTGAAACCTTATGAGTCTTTAGTTGCAGATTATTTTGAGTATCTTCTCCTATTGAAAATCTTTACATGGCCAGTTGACAAAATATTATAGAATTGTACACGTTACATTTGTCCAAGAAGAAGGTTCTCTACTCCCAAAAACCCACGTTGCGGCCAACTGATACCTCGTGACATATGGCCCATAGTAGTCTTCGGTGACTGATGCTCCCTACTCACCCTACTCACTAGTCGGTCAATCTGTCCTTCTTCTGAACCCTGAAAGTTGCAGATGAGACACGAAGCCGTCGTGTAAGAGCAATTTTGCCAACCTCTACTGGTGTCAGTTTTGCTCCATAAAATGTGTCGGAACTGCTAGTTGTGCCATAGACTAAAGCCGGTAAAACCAGAAGCATTGAGAATAGCATTGTTGAGGGGTATATGACTTAAAACAGTGTTATAAATATTGGAAAATGTATAATGACAACAATACGATGAATCAAAGACGGAGTTCATATGACAAAGCTCGTAACTATCAAAATATCATGCTTATTGAGCGTCTCCAACTCATACTTGACATGAGGAAGATAAGAATCTTGACTATGGAACAGTGCCCTACAACTATAGATTCATCATTTATATCCTTGAGTTGCAAAAACACTTGCGGATACAAAACGAGCATGGAACGCAAAACCTGAGTGGGCTCTGGCATCATGCCAAATTTAGATCTAAATCAGGGTCAAGCGTTTCGATGCAATCCGGGACCCTCATTTACTACCCCCCCCCCCACCCCTCCCTCCCTCCCTCCTGCTGCTTTGGGGAGGCGTGCAAGTGTTACCCAGGCAGCCGCCTGGTGCCGCAGCCAGCCGCCAAAGCTGGCACCTACGCCGCGGCTGAGCTACCGTAAGCGCGCTCTCGTCGTCCTCAACCTCTCGTAGAAAGATTTTCGCAGCAGCCTCACACCTCATCGCGCTGAGGTGCGAGAATTCTCTCAGACGTCGCGCTACTGCCACATATTAAATATCGATCAAGACAGCAGGAAATTTGTAGTTTATCAGTAAGATACAATGTAAAAATATACAAAAAACAAAAAAGTTTTAAAAAATAAATTGATGGAATGATCATAAAATTAAATTAAAAGCATAATATTATGAAATGAATTCTGTTTGTTTACTAGGCAATTCCTCGTTTCTTTTCTTAATCTCAAAATTAATAAACTCTCGATTTTTAGAGCTGCATCCTCGCAAATCACTCGGGTAGAAATGAACAGTATTCCTGAAGAGTTTAGGATTTTACCAGATGAGGATCTTTTACAAATTCAATTGCCAAATATTTCCTATCTACTACTCCGATGTAATTATTGCGCTAAATGCCCACAAAATTATTTTTGCGAATCTCATGAATTTTTGAAAAATTGAGATAATCTTTGAAATTGGACTAAAAGCGCTGATCGGGACGGCGTCCACAAGTAATCCCATAAAGATTTGAGCAGGGATAGAAAAAGGACAATTATGAATCGTCCACACAATGTGTGGCGGAGGTTTGAAGTTCGTGAAAATATTCAAAATGAATGAAGGAAAATTTTCAAAAGATTTCAGGTCCCAATTTTATTCGCCTCACACAAAAGAAAAATCGCGAAATTCACAAGCTTATTTTTGACTGCATGAAAGAGAAATTAGGTAATGGAAATTTTAGGATAATTCTAGATTATGAGAAGGTGATGAGGTTTTTGTGTATTTTTTATTGCTTGAAAATTTTATTGAATTCGAACTTTTTTGTTTTTGTGTATTTTTGTATTGTACCTTAATAATAAACTACAAATTTTCTGCTGTCTTGATCGATATATAATATGTGGAAGTAGCGCGACCTCTGATGGAATTCTCGCACCTCAGCTCGATGAGGTGCGAGGCTACTGCGAAAATCTCTCTGCGAGAGGTTGCGGACGACGAGAGCGCGCTTACGGTAGCTCAGCCGCGACGTTGGTGCCAGCTCTGGCGGCTGGCTGCGGCACCAGGCGGCTGCATGGGTAACACTTGCTACGCACCCGCTGCTTTGAACCTGCATAAACGAATGTCAATCTCAAAAATGCCTGCCAATGGACCTCAATCAAAATTTTAGATTTTTCAAAGTTCAAAAAGAAAACCACTTATAAACTGGGAGGTAATGCGAGTGATGCTCCACCACTCAAAAACCTCATGGATAATTTTGCTTAGATCAGGTAAGTAGTGAAATTTTACAAAGATTTGGCTATGCTTATTGTGGTCTGGAAAATGTGGATGGAAAGGACAACGTCTGACAAAGCAGAACATCAGATTTGGTCTGAATGATATGTTTAAGCTGCATTCTAACTAGACACTAGAAAAATGAAAATAACAACCAAGAAGAATTGAGCATTACGAACTTCAGTCATTATGATTGACTATTTTACACATCTCATTTTCTAGTGACAGATAATGAATTTTTCTGTCATGAATGTTTGGCATAACTCATTCATGTTTCAGTGATACCGAAAGATATTGACTATGGTTCTGCAAATTAAAACGGTTTACAATGACAGTCTCGTGTTCTACCCCCGTACGCGACACCAATTCTTTGCAGGGAGAAAGAACGATACTTTCAAAGGCTTAATATGTTTTAGACTAAAAAGCTTACTTTTCAATTTTTGCACAGATTTTCCTGCAAAAAAAAAACCCGTTTTGGAGCCATCCAAAACGATGCCAAAAACGTGCATGAGCACGGTACTTTGAAAATTCGTAACTAAGTTCAGGGAAAGACCGAGAAGCGGCTAAACAGGCTGTGTAGTGCTCAGACTATCCATGGAAAAAATTTCAGCTGAGATCAATGAGCTTAAAGAAATCTGGATGCGACTCGCAATTTTTGGTGCGGTCCCAAAAAGCAAAAACTGGGATTTTTGGGCTTGAAATTTTGTAACTTACTGCCGAAGTTATGAAACAGCCTTAAATGTCTATAATAGAAAGCAGGAAGATGGCCTTGTATACTGCACGATTGCAGCCAGCAAGCTCTCATCTCCTGAGAGATTTAGACGCGACCCAGATACGACCCCCCTACTTCAGTTTTTGTCGCCATACATGAAATTATTCTAAAAAATCCACTATCACGAAATAAGATCATATTTCGCAAAAATGTAGCAGAGCGTCTCCGAAGTACAGATAACTTGTATGGATCCGTGAAAAACACTGCAAAAAGATTTAGAATTTATTGGTGGTCATCGCCGGTGAAGATATTCGTTTTGGCGAGTGTGTGAGACTTCAGGGAATTTTTGGAAGCAAGATTTCTAGGGCAGTCGCCACATCGAGAATTCAAATCAAATTATACATTCTTCACAAGTGTTTTGAGCTTTTGGGATTTTTTTTGGGCAAGTGACATGGTCTGAATCAGCTTCAAGCGCTGATCACAAATATGCTAATCCTAGCTGCCACGCACCATTCCGAAGCGAGTTACGGGCTTTTTCCTGCGCAAAATTGGCATACTCATTGGCTCACTGGCAACACGGCATCATCACCTAAGTGCTAATACACTTGCGTTAATCTTCTTTTCAGTGAGAAAAGATTGGATTTGTACTATTTGGATACCTCAGCACCTTTTTCTTGCAGATTTTTATCTACGGGCAGTCTTCTCATGTTCAGTAGCATGCCAGTTTTGCGTAGGAAAAGCCCATAACTCGCATCGGAATGGTGCGTGGCAGCTAGGAATAGCATATTTGGAATCAGCGTTTGAAGCTAATTCAGAACATGTATGCCTCTTACCAAAAGGCCCAGCTAAGTTAGGTAGCTTTTTTATAAGACGGTTTTTAGACAAACTAGCTCCTCTTACGACCCCCCTCCTCATCTTAGTGCCCACCCCCGTTGCGACAGTCGCATCACACGCTTGACCCTGACCTAACTTCTGCAGGCTACGTAAGATTCGTTTGCTCCTTAACTTCTGCGCTCTCCGTCAGTGCTTCAAAGGAGCGACCCAAAATCCATGCACCCCAGATTATTACTCAAAAGGAAAGGATACCGAATTAAGCTGGCGATTGAAGAGTGTATGTCACTGGACGCGCCTTTGAATGCTGATTCCAATCTGCTTTCGTTGCGGAACAACTTTTCGAAAGAAGTTATGAGCGTTTGAATGTTCAAATTTGTCATACTTAAATGGCTTAATAACGAAAAGCTCTAAAACAACACCAAGCGGATTTCCACCGACTTCGTTCCCTTGCAATCAAAATACTTGATACAAAATTGACTACCCACTTTCAGATGTTTTTGTGTAGCTTTTCGCTAATTTTAGGCCGCTTTGAGCTTGATAGATTTGGACACCTTCTTTCAAAAAGTTGTTCCGCAAAAAGGAAAGCAGATTTGGAATCAGCGTTCAAAAATACGTATGTGGTATACATCTATAACAGTAGTCTATCGTCGACTTATGTTGATATCCTTCCCCTGTTAGTCCAGTCTCCTAATGTTGCTTAAAGGGGAACCTGGATTTGCAGAAAGAAAATTCATTTTTTCGCCGCTCCTTTTCTTCTGCTCCACCCATCCAAGCATTGCTCCATGACGCGTTTTGACATCGGCCCGCAACGTTGAGACGCATAATGTGTGATACGGCACTGTTGCATACGAAGATGTTTCCCCATACGAGGTGAGTAGCACGGGAGCATACGACCACGTCGCAAAAGCCGTTTAGAAAAGGTCAGCTCTGGGGCGCTCCTGTATTTGGCACCTCATATTCGAAGTTAAGGTCATGAAAAAACCCGACACAATATACTTACTTACTTGCTTGCTTGCTTAGATGGCCCGCCCTCACGTGACGCGCGGGCCCCAGTACAGAAGTTTCCATTGATTCCTGTCCCTCGCCTTGCACATTCAAGATCTTCTTGGATATGGTCGATGGCTGCACGAGTTCCAAGGACGAAAATCATATCCAGCTGACTTCTCAGCTAGTCCATTCGTTTCACGAACACGTCTGCCCACCTCCTCGGATAATCGCCCAGGGTAGGCGGCCATGCGATTTATGGGCAAGGACACCGGAAAAATAGTTTGCTGATTTCTTGCGGTCCGCTTGCAGACATTTAGAATAATGTTGGCCATATCTTATACGAATGCTGGAAGAACAATTGCGGCTTTTTTATAGATTAGTTGCGGCGCCGTAGCCGCATTCTTCGCGGACTTTCCGTGAATACTCAAAATTATTGAGGGCCGCACAGTCTTTTTTGAAGGACCGCATATAGGTACTTTCCGCTGAGAGGAAGAACCCAAAACTTGGGTAATCAACATCAATGACACCTCTCCCACATAGAATCTCATCTTTGCTCGGCGTACGCCTAAAACTGCGTTAAAAGAGTCCTAGCGCTTGCTGAAAGTTTGGCCAGCGCTCGCTGAATGAAATTATTTGCCGAGCGCTCGCAGAAATGTACTGCTGCTCGCCGGCAGAATATGCGACAGTAAAGG